TAAGGAGAAGCTGAAAGAAGCTTTTTAGCAGCATCCTCCAGAGAGCAGTCAACCCTCACAAACAGCTGATTGTTGCACTCACATGTCAGACGTCTGGTTACTGTTTGGTAACAGAGTCCATGACAGGAACATGTCCTGTTGATCGATCCTGTAACTAACCAGGCTTGCTATTACTAGCTGATGACTGAGCTAATAACTCCACCCTCTCATCCCAGTATGGTCAAATCGGGTTTCAAATACCAAGATGGTGATGGCCATCCTTAAAATGTTAGTGCACAAAATATTGAGATGGTTTTCAGTTCAGTTCAGTTCAGTTTTGTTTATGTAGTGCCAAATCACAATAACATTCACCTCACTTTATATTGTAAGGTAAATGCCCTGCAGTAATACAAATTCATTTTGTTGCAACATTTTTGATATACGGTCTGTGATTACCAGTCTGTGTCCAAGTTGTAGTTAAACCTGGGAATTTTCTAACTCCTGATAAACCAGATATGGCTTTCATAGATATGGAAGTGATAACAAAACATGAACACTGAGGTAGATTGTGTCTGAAACCAAGTTGAAATGCAAACAAACCTGAAAGATAAACAATCCTAAAGCATGCTGAAGTACTGAGTCAGTTTACAAATCACACTTACGGTAAAGTTTGGAGAAAGTCTCAGATTGGACTGTTTGGGGTTTTTTAGTTACCGATAAGACAAGAGTGAAAGTCAACAGAAATCTGAAGCATTTAGTTTTGCTATGAAAGGACATCTGTAGCAGATCTGACCAGAGTAAGTGCTTACCCCCAGGAGCGTGTTTCCTTTTTGGGTGGTCTGTAGTTATACAAATCATGTATCTTGTGGGAAACTCAAAAAAATGCTGTGAACCGCTGATCTTTGGCTCCCTGGACAGTTTTACAGCGAGCACAGAGATTCTGTTACGAGCAGGTCAAATGGTCAAAATGAGCTGGAAGGACTTCCTGTTTTCAGACCCTCTGAATCCCAGCCTGGATTCTCATAAATGTTCGACATGCTTACCGCCAGTCATTCGTCACTTACACTTACAGCAGTCGAGTCTTTAGGCCAACTCCAGTTTCCATTTGAAGGTTTCATAAATTGTCAGGCACAGCTTCCTGGAAGTGGCGTTATCAAACATTTTCATTTAAATAAACAGCTGTTATTTGATCGTTTATTGCCACGTGAATAAACACAAGGATAATAAACCCCAAAGGCCTGAAACAGCAAAACCAATATAATGGTAACTGTAACCAAAAAGAAAATGAGATGCATGTAAAAAAAGAGAAAAATAACCTTTTCCAGTTATTATTTGCCTCACACAACGACGTTGATTCTTCTTGGTAAACATTTTAAGGTGTGTGGTAAGTCGATTTAAATATCTTGAATGAGATACTTCGCTAAATACTAAAGGGGTAAAATTCTAGACATCTGACACACTTGGAACTTTTGCACAGAGCTGTGCACTGAAGCATGAGGAAATCACAAATGCAAGCAACAATTAACCACATTTTACTGTTATATATGTGAACCAAGTTACTA